GTTTCTTGCTCTCTTTTTTTGCAAATATTCTTTTATTGAAATTTTTCCTATTTGGGAATATGTGGAAAATATGAATCATGTCGCATCGTTTTTTTTTCGCTGTGCCAATATATTTATTTATTTGTGTTTCATGTGATTGATTCAATTGATGATGTTATTAAAAGTATAACATCTACAAAATCCATGGGAATGAGAAATGGATGAATGAGAGAATTCACCAATATCGTAGACCAGAACGTTTTTTTTTTGGAAATCTGGATTTTTTATTTTGTTTTTTGTCTTCAAGGAATATCATCATCAACAACCGAAAAAACAAAATATTCGTTTTGACAGACAGTACGGAACATTTTTATTCAATCAAGTTTTTTCGCTGTTACTTTTACGTTTTCATTTTCAATTAAAGAATCGTACCAACAAACAACAGAAAAAAATCACTGGAAAGCTTGAAATGTCCAACTGAACAAACAAACAAAAGTAAAGGGAAGAAAAAAAACAGAATCTTGATCCATATCATTTCAAAATGCTGTTGTTGTTGTTAAGTTTCCAACCGATCTTAGTCATCAACATCGTGATCATTCAATTTGCAAGTTCATTTATCACATATCTACATTATTCTGTAACTTTTTTTCTTCTTCTTATTTGATTATTATTATTATTTTAGTTGTTGTTTACAAAGACATAAAGGAAAAGAAAACCTTTCATTATTAACTTGAATCTAACTAAACACGCACAACAGAAATATATTTAAAGCAAAGATTTGAACAAGAAATATTTATTCTTTTTGTGGATAGTGTGAGGTGGTGGGGGAATAGAGAGAATTTTCATTTCTCATTTCTTATGTCCAAAATAATAATGAAAATAAAAGTACAGTAAGATTTGGAGAAAAAAAAGAATTCCTACTTGTTCAATCAACAATAAAACACCACAATAGTTTTAGTTGTTCATTGCTAACGGCATATTTATACATTTTTTTCGTTCCTGTATCACACACACACATCAAGTCCAACATTGAGAATAATTTCATTTCATTTCATTTGATTTTATATACACTTTCAGTTGTTGGTTGATTGGTTTCGATATTGATGTTTGAACGATGTTTTCGGATTTCGTTTTTTTCGTCTTTGAGAAGAAAAAAAATCCGAAAACTTTGATTTTTTTTCACTCAGTCAATCTTAAATTCTCTTATTGGCAGAATAAAAACAGTTTTATTCCCCATTAGAATTCATATTTTCATTGGTTAACACTTACCCCCTCCATCCATATTCGTATTACAACCCTCGAAAATCTGCATTGAATAAGCAAGCAAAATTTGATTCAAACATCATTTCAAAAAAAAAATTGAGTTAATTTAAAAAAAAACATGTAAAATTTTTCCACTAACTCATTCATTTCACATCCATTATTTAGAATAATAATAATAAATTTTTTTCTGATGCAGCAAAAAAAAATAGATGTTGTGATTTGCCTGACAAATGTATTTTCATTTTCATTTTCATTTTTTTTGTTGCCTCTGTCTTTTGCCATTTGGATCTGGATTTTTTTTTTCGTTGTACAACTTTTCAATATCATTGAAAACATGTTAGGTCGAATGAACAACAAACTAACTAGCACAGACACACAGAAAGAGAGAAGAAAAAAAAACAGAATCCGGTCATCATCTGCAAACGACTACAATGATTTGCATTCTAAACCATGTCCATGAGAAAACAAAACAAAAAAAACATATCAGAATATCAAACATATTCGTTTGGTTTAATTATAAATTCATCGTACAAATGGACATTTTATGGATAATAATAATTTGTTGTTCATCAGACTTGAACAACAACAACAACAACAATTGTTCAGTCGCTGGTGATCTTGTGTTTTTTTTGGTGGAAATAACGAGAAATTTTGAAACATCTGGAATTTGTTTTTTTTTATTTTGGAAACAGTGAAAAAAAATTAATAATAAATTCAAATTGATATAAATAGATTTTGAACTCAAAATTTGATGAATATTTTTTGCTTTCGTAGTTGGATCCTCTCTCTCTCACATTGAACTCTTCAAACTTTCAATTTTTTTTTTCGTTATTGGTTATTTGTTGTCATCGTTTGTATCAATCGATTGATACTGACAACACCGGAAGATAGATTGATAAAGAAGATTAAGGCAACACAGAATTATTATTATTATTAGATTCATTCATGTGGATCGAGTTCATCGTTGCTGATCATGGTTAAATAAAAAAAAATATAGAGAAAAAAAAGTTTAAAATTTTAAAGTTTTTTTTTCTTGGTTTCTTCCTCCCCCTTTCAAACATGATCAACAACAACAACAACAAACGTATAATCATTCAAACATTATATCTTTATATTTAGTTTTCTTTCATCGACTTTCATCACCAGTTTTATCTTGAATTTTTTTTTTGCTTCCATTTTCAAAGCTCAATATTATTTACTACCAAATGGGATGATTGCCATAGAATATTTACAGGGAGGGAAGAAACGATTCTGTTTGAAAAAAAACTAAAAAAAAAAAATTTTGGAAAAAAAGATATGTGATGAATACGTGATTGTTTTTGACAATGAGAACTAACAACAACAACAACATTCTTTAGCATCCTTCCACAAAAAAAAAATTTTTTGTTTCATCAATGGTTTTCTTTTGCCACCAGAAAAAAACTCAGGATAAAAAAGATCCGTTAGATAGATTTTCCAAACAAACAAACAAAAAAAAAACGAATGGTTTTCCAATGAAAAAAGATAGTCAGGAAAAAAAAATTGCCACCAATGTTATAGTTTGGGTTGTTGATTCATTTATTCATTCATTCATTCATTCATTCAAAATTTGATGTCTATCTATCCATATTTATGTGTGCGTGTGTTATCTATGTGTTTTTTTGTTTTTGTTTGACGGTTGAAACCGTTATTCGGTTATTCGTTTTTCTCTATTTTTTTCGGGCGATCGAATGAAAACAAAAAACAAACAAAAAAATAAATAAATAAATCGCTTTTAATGATAAAAAACGAAAAAATATTTATAACAAAAAAAAATCTATCAATGATGCAACCTCCGACGAAAGCAGGAAAAAACATTTACAATTTTCTGGTTCGTTGTGAATAAATAAACCATTTTTTTCGTTGTTGAAAGCATTCGCTTATCATTAGAATTCTGGCAAAACTGAAAAAAGTGAAGAAAAGAAACTCTTAAATAAAATTAAGTTTATTAATTTCGTTTTTTTTGCTTTGTTTCAATTCTTGTTTCCATTCAAAATGTATTCATTGATTTCATCAAAAAAAAAAAAATTCTATGTAATAAGAAATGTGATGCAGATGTTTGTTTTCTCAAAATGGTTTTTTTTCGTTTTGGTGAAAAATATATAGTGCATTCATGATGATGATGATGAATCGATTCTTCATTAAATCGTCAAGAATTAGCTTTTTTGATCAAAATTCTTCAATTATTTTGTTGCCTACTTTATTGGAGTGAAAATTTCTTTGTTTGTTTGTTTTTGTTTTTGTTTTTCACAAATCAAAGTCATTGTTTATTGTAAAAACGAAATGAAATGAAAATCAATAACATCGATCCAAAATAATATTCTTCTGTATTGTGAATTAATTTGTTCCAAACAAAATAAGGTAAAGAAAACAAATTTTGCAAGTAGCGCCATCTTGTCATCCAACTTAACTAATGAATTTTTTTTTGTTTTGTAATTTTATTTAAAACACAAAATTAATCTTGTGTTTCAAATTACATAATTATTTTAAAAAAACAAAAAAGTTCAATTCTTTGGTTGAATTCTTTCACATTCTGTTTGTATTGTTTCTAATATTCTCTTAGCAATAATAACAATGTTAAAAATAAATCCGATATGTTTATTTTTTTTTTCGTAGAGAATTTAATTTCTTTAATGAGAAACATACACACACTTATATTTTGGATATAAATATTAAATTTCATCAACAAAAAATCAATATTATTTTGTTGTATTTTCAATTTGTTGATTACATGTTTGGTCTGATGGAAAAGAAAAAAAAACAAACAAAAACAAATCGAATCGACAGTTGATACTGACAGTATGAAAATTTGAAAAAAAAACAATATTTCAAATAAGGTAATATGATATGGTTGGATTTTTTTCATTTGAAGATGATTGAAAACAAAACAAAAAGGTGATAACAATATCAACACACACACACAAACGCATCTTTTACTTTTTTAAAATTAAAAAATACAGAGTTTTATCCGAAAAAATTCTTTTTGTTTTTAATTCCAGAAAAAATTTTCAGTAAAAAAAAGAAAGTTTTCAACTTGTCAATCGGTGGAGTTGTTATTAATGTGAATAAAAGCAAGAAAAAAAACGGAAGAAATTTGATTTTCAATTTTGATTCTAAAGTTTTTTTTTTCTTGAGTAATTTTTCATTCCATCTTTTTCTCTGGAAAAACACCTTAACAGTTTGAAGAAAAAAAAAACAGAACCATACAAGGTTTCAATTTCTAAACAGGTTTAGTAGGTGTTAATTCATTCAATTTTCAACCATTTCCATTCATTATTTCTATTTCATCCACCTACCCTTTTACTAGAAAAAAAATAATTTACATTTACTATCAACAAAAAAAAACAACAGCAGCATAAAATGAATATTTTTAATGTTGGCTACATGCAGAATTGCCAAAAAAAACAACACTGCAGAGCGACAGAACTTGTGAAATTAAAAAAAAAAGAAAAAAAAATGAATCAAAAATAAACTGAGATTCAGTTGAAGGGAAGAAAAAAAGTTTCAAAGAAAAGTAAAATTCTTTATTTTTCGTTTCATTCAAAAAAAAAACAAAAAACCTGTTTATGAGAAGGAAAGAAGGAAAATTTTCCCGAATGAATTGAATTGAATAAACTGAATGGAAATTTCTTTTTATAAAACAAAAATCAAAACTTGTTAGAAATACGTGTATTTTTTTCATTTCAAACAAAAATAATAACATTTTTTTCCTATTTTTTTTATCGTTTCTTTTTATCCATTCCGGTAATATGCAATTGAACAACAACAACAACAACAATCGTCAACAACAAACGAAACAATCAACCAACAATGAACAAAAAATCCATATGTACAGTCAATTGTTCGGAAGATGAAGAACGCCTTGTTCGCGATCTATTTCGTGATTACAACAAACTAATTCGTCCTGTCAAACTTATCAATGATAGTGTCAAAGTAAATGTCAAATTACAATTTGTACAATTGATCAATATTGTAAGTATTTTCTTTTTCTTTTTCTTTTTTTTTGTAGCTATTTATTATTAATTTATGATATAATAATAATAATAATTTAATATTCCATTGACATATTATATAATAAGATGATATATATCTTGTATTTGAATAATAATAACAACAACAATGACATTGAAAATGATTGTAATCGAAAATAAAAGAGAAAACGAAAACGACAACAATTCAGTAAAAAAAGGGAAACAAACATGTTCTTGTTTTTTTCATTGTCATTCTTATATTAAATTTCAACAACAACAACAATAATGAACAATTAGGTTGTTTTGTTTTGTTTGTTTGTTGTTCAATTCTTTCAATTTTTTTTCTAAATACGAAAATGTTGGAATGTTGATGTTGCGAAATAAAAAAAAAACGCTAAAAATCAATCAACAAAATGAAATTCATAAAAACAAGAAAATCTATGAACGCAGATGTATGGATAACAACCGACAAACAAAACGAACAAAAAACGAAAAAATTCATTCGTAATCCAGATTTTCGAAAATTCTTTACAATTAATCACATAAATGAATTGTAGAATTTTATCATCATTTCTTATGAGAAAATAAGAAAGAAACGAACATTTTCTTCATTCTGTTTCCAATAATTTTCATCTGACCATTATGACAGTATTAATTCCAAACGAATAAAAAAAAATCCTCACAGTTCAATTAGATTTATTACATTCGGTCAAGACCTAGTATATCTATTTAGTATATCTAGTTTAGTCCAGAAAATGAATAACAAAACATTACAATTCAATATTTTTGGGAGGGGAAAAAAAGCCGATTTAGTCGATTAAGCCGGGTTCGATTTTGTGTTAGTCGTTGTTGATCATTTGTTTTCTTTTCTACTTTTTTTGTTGTTGATTCTGTATTGCGAGAATTTCACTAGAAAAATAGTGCTTTTGGATGAACTTGATGAACTAGAAAAGAAAAACATTCAAGTGCCAAATGGCCGAATACCCGATGGCCATTGGAAGAAGAAGAAGAAAATCCATGCCTTTTTTTCTCCAATGAAAAAGGCAAACACTTAAACGATAGTGAAGAAAATATTAGATAAATAAAATTTGAGAACAGAAAATACATTCATTCCATCCAACAAATTGAATAATTTTCATTTTCAATACTTGAATGATTCTTATCACATTTAGTTTTGTCACCAATCATTATTGATTACAACACGACGACAACTGCAATGATGATGATAATAATAGCAAACAAACAAATGAACGATATCATCAATGATGTTCATTTGTTAGTAGTTAGTATCATCATCATCATGGCTATTGCCTGAAGTCAAAATAATAAACATGGAAACAAACAAACAAACAAACAAAACAACATTTTTCTTTCACTTGAATTCACAATTCTGTTTTTATTTTCTTCAAAAAAAAAAATACATTTTTTTTCAATAAATAAAATGTTTCAATCACAATATTTCATTCGAATGTAGAACAAGATATTTGCCTTTTTCCATAACTAACACTTAATAATAATTTCATTTCATTTCATTTTTTTCATTTTCATTTTCAATATTTTCATTGCAAAACCAAAAAAACAAACAGAATGAAAAAAGTCAAATAATGACTTCAAATGTATGGATTAATTTGGTATGTGTAATTTTGGAAAAAAAAGAAGTACAATTTATGATGAACATTTTCATTTATTTTGTTTTTTTCCCACATCGAAAACTAATTCCAAAATTTCCTACGGCTTATGAATGATTGTGGTTCCAATCTTCTTTCTTCTTTTTTTATTTTATTTAATGAAATTATTCATTCAATTTCAATTCATTTATTGATTAAAAATGATAGCGATGGTTTGACTATCAACTCACATGGGATCCAGCAGATTATGGTGGTATCACTGTATTACAGCTTCCACCGGATAAAATTTGGAAACCGGACATCGTACTATTTAATAAGTATTGTGGATTTTTTTTTTCTCTATACATTTCAATCAGATTTTTTTGTTTTGTTTGTTTATTTGTTATTTCCATTCGTTTTTACTGTTTTATATATCGATAGTTTATTTAGTTAACTTTTTTTTAGGCAAGCAACGATGATGATTTAATTTCAATTGAATTGTAACACAATTATACTAATCATATTTATTTTTTCTTTTTCTTTTTTCTTTTCGTTCTGTTTTTTTTTTTGACTGATTTCCGTATTTCATTTTGATTGTGTGGTTTATGAATCAATCTTCATTTCATTTATTTTCGTTTCTAAAATAAAAATAAAAATAATAAAATTTATTTCGGAAAATAATGAACGAATATAACAGTGCCGACGGTAATTACGAAGTTCGTTTCAAATCAAATACCCTTTTATCATATAATGGTGAATTATTTTGGTTACCTCCGGCCATCTATCAAAGCTCATGCCAAATTGATGTTACATATTTTCCATTTGATCAACAACGTTGTGTTATGAAATTTGGTTCATGGACATTCAATGGTGATCAAGTGTACTTAGGTCTTATTAATGATCGTTATAGTGTTGATCTATCTGATTATTGGAAAAGTGGTACATGGGATATTGTTGATGTGCCTGCATATATTAATGTTTATAATAATTCAAAATATGGTAAACCAACCGAAACGGATATATCATTCTATATAACATTAAGACGTAAAACTTTATTCTACACTGTCAATCTAATATTGCCTACAGTATTAATATCATTTCTATGCATATTAGTATTCTATTTACCATCTGAAGCCGGTAAGTCTCTCTCTCTCTCTTTTTTCATTTCTAATTAATTAATAAATATATTTTACTTTTTTTTTATTAATTACAATCTCTAATTTATTTCTATTTTATTCATTAAATTTATTTTCTCTTGTTTTGGTTTGCTTGGTTTATTTGTGTGTGTGTGCGTGTGTGTGTATTTGTTCACATTATAAAAGTCAATTTAATTTAGTTCATTATTATGTTGTTCAACATTGCTCGTTAAAATATTGTGTTCAACGAATTTGAAATCTTTTTTTTTGTTTTTTGTTTTTTGTTTTAATCCTCTACCGACAGCCATCATCAAACACACAAATATATATAACTTAATTTTAAACCCAACCAATTCTTTGGTGGGTTTTGATTATTATTATTCACTCTATGGTATGGTTTGATTACCATCCAACCAATTTTTCACTTTCTCTCTCTCTCTCACTCTCTTTATTTCTCCAACAATCTTGGTTACCTTTTAATTAACTTTACTTTGACTCAATGAATCATATACTCCATAACGATAAAAAAAAACAGTACGCGTACAGAATTCTCAATTGTATGTGTATGTGTACCGGCAGTGTAGAATTTGTAACAGAATGATGAAAATTTTTTTTTCTTTGGTTAGTTTTTCTATGTTTGTTCTGTATAGTCCAATTTGATCAATTATTTATAAGAAAAGTTTAGATTTTCTTCTTTTTTTTTCTTGTCTCATTTTATTGTTAAGTGCAATGGGCGTCTTTGTTCAAATGATTTCTTTTGCCGTTGCCGTTGTTTTTGTTATGTGACAATATTTGCCAACTACGAACAAATGAATGATTGTTTTTTGGCATAAAATACAAATAAAAAGTAATGAATAATAATAATTATTTAACATCATCATTTACAAAACAACAACGTTAAATATTTGAATTGAATGAAAATCTTATTCAATTTGTCAAATATGCTTTTTTTGGAGGGGGAAAAAAAAGTAAACTGATTTGATTAACATTCGATATATGATGGTACATCATCATAATCATTTGTATTCCATAGATGATCGTAACAGAAAAGTAGTTTTTTTTTCTTCATTTCAACTTTATGTTTAAGTTGGATAAAACAAAATTTCTAAACTTTATTTTTTTTTTTTTTTGGTCTGGGATGTTTGGGGAACATTTTTTTTTTTTTTTTGATGAAAAGATGATCTTACATCATGTGAAACACACACGCACACACTTTTTTTTTTTTTTTTTTGGTCTGTGATGTTTGGTGAACATTATTATTTTCTTTTTGATGAAAAGATGATCTTACATCATGTGAAACACACACGCACACAGTTTTTTTTTTGGTGTTGAATTTTGGATTCGATCGATCATTTCTTTCTTTCCTTTCATTTTTGTTCGTCTATATAGAAAATTTATATTCAAAAAAATTTTTCAATCGATTCAAATTTTATGAAGCTTTATTGAGATTGTATTTTGTATGTACGATGCATGAATAATAATGAAATTAATAATTTTTTTCATCATCATCATCACCGTTTTCGACAATGAACCACAAATAAGCAGATTGGATCATTGAAAACAAAAATCTATGATCATCTTTTCTTCCATCTAAAAAAAATATCCATAGAAAATTTATTATTATTTTTTGATAATAAATATTTTTTTAAAAAAATTGAAAAATTTGTAAAAAAAAAAATTAGGATACAAAGAAAATTCCTGGAAAGAAATATGCAGAAAATCTTTTGAAGAAAATGATGGTCATTATATTCTGAATTCTGGTTTGTTTATGGATGTTTTTTTTGTGTGTGTGTGTGTGAAAATTAATATCAAATTTTATCATCATCATTATCATCAAAAAAAAAATTATAATGATGATTACACATAGTGATTATCATCGAAAATCTAAAATATTTTTTTAAAAACCAACAAAATGTATTGTATGGTAAGGAATTCTAAACACGAAATCATTCATTGATGAACATTTTATTGATGGATAGATGATGGATTGTTCTATTTGTGTTCCCATTTATGGATCTATGATGATGATATCAACACTTTTTTGGATATGGAGCACTTTATATGTATGTTGTATATCATTATAGTCATCGAAATATATGATTTTTCTTTGGATTCGATGGGAACCAAAAAAAAAAAAAAGAAAATCAAATTCAAATCGATTTGAATAATCTTTCGAAAATATGAAAATCATCCAATCTTTTCCAATGGTGAAATGGATTTTTTCTCCATTGAAAACTGATTTATTTATTCTCGATCAAACTTGAACATTAAAAAATAATTTTGTTGTTTTTCTCTTCTCACTGGTTTGGAATACCATTAGTCATTTTATCAACATTTATAAATGAAGCCATATCATCATCATTCTCGTCATACATTTATTATGATGATGTGAAGAAGAAAAAAATAATAATTTGTCAGAGCAAAGAATTTCATTTTTTTTCTTGGCTTATTGGATTTTTTTTTTCGTTGTTGTTGAAAATAATAAGGCAAAAAATCAAAATAATTTTACGTTTGATCCATTTCGGATATAACCAATTCGAACCAAACTGAAAAAAAAACATTCGATCATTATTATTGAATGATACGAATTTCTTTGTATGTATGTATCAAGTGGCTGTAGATGAAGCCAACAAAAAAATAAATCTTTGTTCATTTTGATTACAAGAAAGTATAAAAAAAAGATGACTGGCGATATGTGACAAATTCAATGTTGTTGTTGTTGTTGTATTGAGGCTATATTGATATTTTTCCATGCAATTCAATCGATATTATTCAACGTCATCGATTTGATGTTGAAAATTTCTTTTCCTTCTTCTTCTTCTTCATTGAATAATATTCTCTCTCTATATTCTTCCAACAATAATATGTATTCGACAAAGTAAGCGAAAATGAAACTGATTTATTATATTTAGATTTAATATAAAAAAAAGAGAGAAAAAGAAATCCATTTGTCGAATATTCGTCTGTCATTCATTCATCGTTCTGATTGCTTTTCATTTTCATTTTTTTTCGATTCACTTTTTTTTCTATATTATCGATATATGATGATGTATGATACATTCTTTTTACGCTTTCATATTTCATGAAATCAATGATTTACTAGCATTTTTTTTATTATTATTTCGAATTATGATTGGACAGAAACAAAAATAATCCAAATCCATATAGAATTCCTATAGAAAAAAACGATAAACATTATCCTTTTGTTTCATGTTTTTTCTGTTTAATTTTTAACTGGTGTTAAATTTACTCACACACACACACACAATCAATATGTTTCGAATTCTTTGGAATTTACTATTTTACTTTAATTCTTCATTCGGTTTCATTTAATGAGAATTAAAACATCCAATATTACACACTGAAACAAAAAAAAGATAATTCCTTCTCTCACATTTTTTCGTCATCTACCATCATTCACTAATTTCTCATTTTTTTTCGCTGTTTAGATGTGTGAAAAGAAAACAAAAAAAAACTTTTATTTCGTTTTTATTTTTCCTCTCGATCGCATATTCTCATCATTTCAAATAATAATAATTTTCGTTTTGATGAGAAGAATTTTTTTTCCACTATAAACGAAACCATTTTTTCAAGCGTAAAAATGAATTGTTTTTTTTTATAGAATCTTCTTTCATAGAAACATATTATGCAGTTGATGTTGATGATGATAGTATATACCTGTGGTGATATATAACGAACAGCAATCAAACAGGAAAAAAAAATAACTGAATTTATTCTTTATGCCTGAATTGAACAATGTTAAGTAACCATAAATGAATAATAATAATTGTAATTGGTAAATGAAAAGAGATGAATATAAAAAAAAATAATAATTTGCATATATTCCTATTATTATGTATGCATACAGGGTGTTTAAAAAGTTATTAAACAATTTTTCCATTCCTACTTATCATTTTTTTCTGTTGTTGCAAACATTCTGTATGAAAAAAGGAAAGATTCTTTATGATGATGATGATGATGATGATGAGAAAATGTTTTTTAATGAATAATCCATACTTATGTATACTTTAACGGAAAAATTTACGAGAAAAATAATAAAAACTTTCCAGTATCCAAAATATATACAGAATAAGAATGAAAATTGAACATGAAATAAAAACAGAAGCAAATTAATGTATGATGATGATGATGAAAAAATTAAGTAAATTACATTTGACTTGTTTCTCTCTTTTTTTTCAGTCTGATTATCTGTTCTATGTTCATTACATTATCGTTGTTGTTGTTGTTTTGATTTTTCTTTATCATCTTTAATAATTTGAATAATTTTTTTGTTGTTCATTTAATGTTTCCAGGTGTACCAGCAAATAAACAAACAAAAAGTCTAAACAAAAAAAAATCTTATATAATTTTATGTCATTTTATCTGTTTCTGTTTTTTGTTTTTCGTTTGCATATTGTTGTTTTGTTCAGGGTTTGATTTGGTTATAATTTGGCTTGTAGAATATTTACATCAAGTCAAAATTGATGATGATGACACAGACGCTCAATTCAGACACACACACAATCACACAAGCATCTGGAAAGTGTTCCAAAATTCTGTTATATTCTTGGGTAATGATAATTATGATTATGATAATAACATTTGGTTGGTTGGTTGGTTGCCTTTTTTTTTTGATTCTGTTGTTGGAAAAAAGCTTATATTCATCGCTTGGTTGGTCGATGTAATTTTGTTTTTTATTTATTTATTTATTTCATGGTGAAAGTTTTTTTTTGTTGTTTTTATTTTCATCATCTCACTCGCATTCAAATATATTTCAGTGCATATTCAGAAGAAAATAAAATGAAAATTCTCTAGTATGTTTTTTGTCTGTGTAAATCTGGAATTTGAAATGAATTATATTTTTGTAACGAATGTCCAGGTATGGTCTAATTATATTGGTCCAAAGCCAAAAAATCTTGAAAAAAAACTGAAAATTTTCTCATTTTTACATCTGGATAACAACAACAAACAAAATACAGTAGAATCTATTTCTATTTCTATTTCATTCTATTAATTCTCTTTAATTTTATTTGTATGTTTTTCGTATGATAATAATAATAATTTCATAGCAAATCAACACTGTATACAGTTAAGCTAACTGGTTATAATAATCTGTTTTTATGTTTGTGTGTGTGTCTGTTTGTGTGTTTATGCATGTGAAAATGATTTAAATTAATTAACCGCAAACTTTGTTTTGTATTTTATCTTGTTTCTACTACTACTACTTATTGTTTAGTTGATTATATTTCATTAATTATAATTTTTATTTTATTTTATTTTTCAGGCGAAAAAGTAACGCTTGGTATTTCAATTTTATTGGCATTGGTTGTGTTCTTATTACTTGTATCAAAAATATTACCACCAACATCATTAGCGCTTCCATTGATTGCCAAATATTTATTATTTACATTCATTATGAATTGTATATCGATACTAGCCACTGTAATTGTAATTAATTGGAATTTTCGTGGTCCACGTACACATAAAATGCCCAATTGGGTACGGACAGTATTTCTTACATATTTACCCGCATTATTATTTATGAAACGTCCAAAAAAGACACGTTTGAGATGGATGATGGACATGCCTAATATACATCATCATTATCATCATTATCATCATCATCATCATCAACACCATCAACAACAACAACAACATCATTATCATCATCAAATGGGTGGCCAAACGGCCGATACTATCATACCATCATGCCTTAATACAGCTACTGGTTCAAGTGCTGGACCGCCAGGTATATAATTATTATTGTTATTAAATATAAATGATCAATTGGTTGAATTTTCATATCTTATTTTTGTCAGAATATTCTTACTTATCTCAAATTTTTTTTTTGCTTATTTATCATTTATATATTCCTGTCATAGACGAAGTGATCAGTGGAAATATATCACCAACTACCGTTCAACAACAACCACCATCATTATCAACCACAACTTCTACAGCTCAACGACATCATCCAAATTGTACAATTTCTGCTGTACATAATCAATCGAACTTTCATAATCAACCGCCATTATTACAGCCTCATCAACATCATCATCATCATAATCAAACATCATCAATAGATCAAGATATGATGGCCATCAGAGATAATGATAGTCTTGATTTATATTTTATGTCACCCGATGCATATCGTGCTGCCGAAGCAATCGAATTTATTGCCGAACATTTACGTAATGAAGATCAATATATACAAGTAAGTTTTTCTACTTTCGTTCAATCAATTTTTGCACATTGTGATGTGACAAAGTTGATTAAATCTATGAAAAAAAAATCAGCAACCAAAACAAAAAAACCACTGAACTTTATTTTATTTTAATCTCTAATCGAATCAAAATGAAAAAAAAATTCTGCTGGGTGTTTCGAATAGAAAAAACGCCTATGCTGTTGTGTCAACGTTTCTTTTGTACTGAAAAAACATACAAGCCATTATTTTTTTTTCATTTTAAATTATTATTATTTTTTTTTCTTCTTTTCATCTAAAGTCTCCATTCTTTTTTCTTTCTCTTTTCATTTTCATTTTCATTTTGGGTGAATTCTTGTCAACTTAAGAAAAAAATAATCAATAACGACAGGACTGATTTCAATCAATAACATCCACACACACACACACACACACTCGCAAACTACACAGCTCTACAGTAGTGCCCAGAGAATTTTTCGTTGTTGTTGTTGTATTCTTGAAAAATTCGTTTCCGATCATTTCTTTTTTATTTGAAGTTTTCCATTGTATACTACTATAGATTATGGGTTCGTTTGGAAACGAAAAAAAAGGGAACACAAAAAAAAAAGAATCGGTTGTAAATCAACTGTATAGGATTCTTATTCGAAAGTCATAATATAAAAAATAAAGTTGGTTTTCATGTTAGTTTTTTTTCGTTGAAAAAAAGTGTCGCATTGATTTTTTTTTTTTTTTTTTGAAAAACGATATTCACGAATTTAAAATTTATCCATTGCCTTTGTTGTTTTTATATATCG